ATAATTTCTTCAAAAAATCGAATATTTGCTCTGCGTTTTCCTCATTTTCAGGATGATTGAAAAAAATGTTACAGGATTTGTAATTCAAACTTCAGTATCGTATAGAATAGAGCCTTTCTATTTTTTTCTTCCAAACCGTCCAAACTCTTCCAACTTGAGTTTTATAATAGATTTTTCTTTCAACTACATTTCTACCGGTTAACGTAATTTCCTTTTTTTCTTATTTCAGTTGAACGCAACGATGATGTTGCGACTGACCGGACCGACGATAGCCATACTGACCATACTTTCGAGGTTGCGTCAACTTCCGCAAGAGGTAATTCACACAAATTCACATGACTGAGTCGATTAAGCCTTCTTCCAACCATTTTTCATTCTTTTTTCTTGTGTTTATCTAGTTTCTCTTGATGACCACGACGAAATACTCGATTATGAAGAGGATTCGGGCGACGCATCAGACGACAGTTTTGAATTCGCCGATGAAAATGCTGTGATGGACTCTGCAATGCAGCCGACACCGACTCATGGAAATACAGGAAATACACATGGTTATTTCGGGCTTATATCGGCTGGCCGATCTCTCACAATTATGTCACCCATATCCGAAAAGGATGAAGATTCGTCGGATTAATTTATTTTCCTTTATCGTTATTTTTATATTCCGATCCATTCACATCGATCGACATTGATTTTATTGATGATGATTCAAATGATTTAAAACGATTTCTTGTGATAAAGCGTGATAAAGTGTGACTGAATCGGACTGAATAGCTTTAAATATCGTTAAATATTCACATATAGACGTTTCCGATACTCAAAATATCGTTAAGCAATTTTCTCGAGTTTTCTAAATATTTCTTCAACAAGACAAAACCGGACAAAACAAACCGAAACAATCTGCCACAAAACCGTACAGATGCTCTCTTTGTATTTTTTCAAACAGCACATCGTCTGAACTCGTGATAATGTGTGATTAAATAGCTTTAAATATCGTTGATTATTCACATATACAAACTTGAATCAAATTATCGTTAAGCCATTTTCTAAATATTTCTAAATATTTCGATTTAATTCCAACGAATTTCAAACGATGTCGTATAAGATTAGTTCCCGTTAGTTTCGTTTAAACCTGTTTAAACAGGACAAAATAAACCAAAAAATGTCCAAATGCAATCTTTGCATTTTTTTTCAAAAAGCATATTGCGGCATATCGCTGAACTCGTGATAAAGTGTGATTCAATAGCTTTAAATATCGTTGATTATTAACATATACAAACTTGAATCAAATTATCGTTAAGCTATTTTCTAAATATTTCGATGTAATTCCAACAAATTCCAAACAATGTCGTATAAGATTAGTTCCCGTTAGT